ATGATTCTAAATTCCCTGGTCAGTTATCATTGTGGGAACAATGATGAATTAAGACCAGCATGATGTGTGATAGATGATTATGATCATATGCATCAGATGCAAATCACAATCATGGGTTCTCGTTTGGAACGAGTTACTGGATGACCCGCATGAGATTGTCACATGGACATGAGTCATGACTTGATAGGTTTAGATCTTTCCTTCCGCTGCGTGAAACCTAGAATCCAAACCCTAGATCGATGAGATCGCATGCTAGGAACCCGAAGGGAACCCAACATACATAACCCATATATACACATATATACATATTCACACTCATACACATATACATACATGATATATAAATACATTCCCTGACAAATTTTGAAGAAAATAACGATTGGAGAAGATTGGAAGAAATTGTGGTTTTTGTTTTGGAAATTTCAAAGTCTGAAGGAGGAAGACAAAGTCGTGGCTTTTATTTAATATTGTGACGGAAATTTCCATCGCAATCCGTCACCCAACAGAATAAAAACCGCGAAAATTTAAAATTTTTTATCGAAAATAATGAAAATAAATGAAATTAGTATTTGCGACGGAAATTTCCGTACAATTCCGTCGCAAAACCTAAAAAATAAATAAATAAAATTAAAAATAATATTTGTGACGAAAATTTCTGTCGTAATCCGTCGCAAATTTGCAACGGATTATGAGACTATTTCCAACGTGAAATATTTTATCACATTCCGTCGCGAGACCGTCGTATTCCGTCATATTTTTGTATGCGACGGAAAAATTCCGTCACAAGTTCCTAGCTATATGGAGATTTTCTTATAGTGATTTCCGTAGAATAAATATATCCTTAATAATAAGAATTTAATTTTAAAAAACAATCAAGGATGCTCCCGTCATCCCGTGAGAAGTGTGATGTAAATGCAATAATAAACCTTTTATATTCTAATTAATGAGATAAGTCACCCTTCCGTAATTGTACTGCATTGTCTATTTAGGAAAAAACTATTTTGTATACATTCATAATATGTATGGGTATAGAATTAATGAGTTTTGAATTATTTGAAAAACCTTTTATATTCTAACGAATGAGACACCTGTCACACCCTCCTTAAACCAACTGTACTTATATAATAATAATAATAATAATAATAATAATAATTCTGTTTTGTTCGGTTGTCTAGTTTTATCGGTTTTGGTCTCATTGTTCAAAGTAAATCGCGTTAAATAAAATACAAGCAACAAAAATCCAACCAAAATAATAATTGTAATGATATAAATTCTAATTCATTGAACAAATAGTGGTTAAGGATAAGACAACATTTGATATTTTGATAATAGAAAAAACGATTGAATATTACTCGATCTGGTAAGTAGATATCGAGATGTGTAAGCATATAGCTAAAATGGAAGAAATAGTTTTTTTTTATTTTGTATGAAATAATAGAGAATGGTGTTAAGTGAAAGAAATATAATTTGTAAATATGGTTCCCGTGTTTTTATTTTTATGTAATTTATGAATCAGTTGAGCTCAACTTTAAATCCGTGGGATTTCCCTCTACCCCAATCGAGTGAAGAGAAATATAAATAATTTACATGTTTTTTTTTAAATACCCAAAAAACCCCAGAAAAAATCATATACTTTTTTATACTAAAATATTTTATGTAGTTTTACTTTTCAATAGTCACTTCGAACAGTAGATACAAATGTCATGGAGACATTCTTCGAGTCGGAGACGCTCATTTCATACCATGGATGCATTTTTCGAGCTGTGGAGACTTATTTCATATTGTGCAGACGTTTTTTGAGCCGTGGAGGCGTTCATTTCTTGTCGTAGAGGCATTATGGCTCATTTCATATCGTGGAGATATTTTTCGATTCCGGAAGGTTCGTTTCTTGCCATAGAGGCGTTTTTTGAGCCGTGGAGGCTTCATTTTATGTCATGGAGGTTTTTTTCCCGAGTCATAGAGATAAATTTTGATACATGGAATCCAAGATGAGAATACATCTACATCTTGAAGGGGAGTGTTAAGATTCAAATTGGTTTGTTTATAGATTGATAAGAATCTATTATACGATTTTATCTTTGTTTATTATATTTGTTGCTATCTTTTGGGGTTTAATTATTTTTATCTTCGATCGAATACGAATTAATAAGAAGTTTGATTATTCAAATAAGTTGTAGCTTAATATTATCCAATATGAGAAATAGTTGTTTTTAATCGAATAATTATAACGGTGGTGTTTGGGTATATTATGAGTTATGTGGAGGATGGTATGATCATAGAGTTATTTGCATGGTGCAAATATTAAAGTCATATCTTTAGCTTGTTATTGTTGAATTATACTTAATTTTGGATTTTGATGTTATTTTGGATCAAATTAATTTTTGGGATTGTTTAATTTTGGATCATTGACCCAAAATTAATTTATGATCTAATTCTAGATAATTAAAATAAAAGATTTAGATATTAATTATGTTAGAAAAGCTAGATTTTACAATATTTTATAGATATTTCTATGAATAATTATAATCAAATGTGTATATATACTCTTTCTTTCCATCATTTATACCATGAAACAAAAAAAAAAATATAGATTTTTCTTCGTGTTTTCGGATCTAAGATCTACGAGAGGACTCTTTTATGTCCTCTTATATCAATATGATTTTACGAGTTTGGCAATGAAAATGTTTATTTCATATCGTGGAGGTGTTCTTGAGTCGAGGGTTCATTCCTTACCATAAAGGCATTTTTCGAACAATGAAGACTTCATACCATGGAGGTTTTTTTGGCAATGAAAATGTTCAAAACCCTAAATAAGGTTCATGTTATTTAAAGGGTCCACAGTTCCTTAAAATTGTAATGATAACAATTAAGATTGTTTTATTCATTATAGTATGTACCAAAATTGGGTGGTTTAACCGGTAAAGAAGAGAGTAAACCTGGATTCGAATGTTCATTTAGAGAGAATTATTCATATAAACTTTTCCAATGACGTAGTCGTCCTAAAGGCACCATTAAACTTCCAAGTTATAAAAAAATGTTATTACGAGATACACGAATTTACTACAAGATTCCGAGCAACAATAAGGACATCCCGAGTCGTGTTTACGATAGATATTTTAATTTAATTTATATTTTTGGGTAAGACAATTAAGTCGACATTAATTCTGCAATAAAAAGGCTCTCTTGAAATGATTTAGTCACTGTAAAATTTGTCTTGAAGCATAAAACGCAGAAGTCTCCAACATGCATTGGTTGAGATGTAAACCTCAAGGCATGGATTAAAAATGACTTATCACCTAAACAATATACTTTAACCATTTGATTAAATTGGTAAATATGGAGTCTGTCTGGCGGATTCGAGAGGAAGAAGACAGATTATGTGAAACAGAAGATCTGATGGTAAGAGAGAGAAGACATCCGCTTCATGTTCTTCCATGGTGTCCGTACACGAGAGAGATGGGTTCTTGAAGGTGTTAAAGAAAATAAAAATTAAGGAGATTGATTCCTTGCTGTTTTTGGTTTTTATTTATTTACAATGTCTGACTAGTTTTTTTTGTTGGAAAAATAGGTGAAGTCACGTCTTTAATATATATATATATGTTTCCATTTAGTATAGTTGGCCAAATCACGCCACCAAATTTCTTATTGACAAAATTTTGCTGGAAGGATTATTTCCTACACCCAATTGATTTCTACGAATAAAATTTAATTTTCTTTTTATATTTGTTTCAATTTCATTTCCATGCATACAAGGCAGAAATACATTCTCAAAACAAACCTTTTTCTCCTTTTAGCTCAAACACCAAATTGTATATATATACAAATTCTGAATTTCATATAATGGAAAGTAAAAGCAAAACACCTAATCTAAGTAACCCATAAAAAAAACAAAAAAAAAAACTAGAAGTACGTATCCAATCTAACTTTGCAAACACAAAGTAGGTCAAATTTGAATCGGTCTTATTGCTGACGTGGTTTCGTGTGTATCAAGAAAACTCACGTGAAGGGTCATATAATCTTTGAGCATGCATATCTTAATGACAAACGTATATATATGACGATGTATATATGTATATATGTGTATATATAAACCCACTTGCCTTCATGCATTTGGATCAGACTATATATGCACATATATATCCATCATCTCCTGCAAAGCCTCGACCGCACGTGTCTTGTCCTTTTCACTTGTCGGTCCTTCAAATTTGACTATAAACATGTTGTCTATCCTCGTGTGCTTGGTTACATTGTTGGGCAAAGAAATTGCTCTTTCTGATGTGTAAGTATTCGGATCGATCTGCGCATATATATAATATTTATATATTTCAAAGGTATTGATTAGGGTTAAACTAGAAATGATGTTTTAAACTTATGTCCTTAATCATTCAAAGAGCTAGAACTACAATCATTCCTAGTATGAATTTGGTTCATACCCTTTTAAGATTATACAACACCGTAGACGTATCACGTATGTATAAGGGTTGGTTTAAAACCTAATACACAAAATAAAACCGTACCGAGTTTTTGTATGCGATCTAGCTATTGTGTTTGAAGAACTAAGAAACCTTCTTTTCGCTAACTTAACGTTGAATGTGAATCTGTAAAACCGAACTAACGGATCATCGGATAGAAGTAAGTTGTGAATGTACGAAACTTTCCGGCAGAGATTTAGACTTACAGTGATGAAGAGACGCTTGATCGAAGGGCATAGTATGAGAAAGGAGATCAAAGAATGGATATTTTCTTGTTCGAGTGAGTTATCGATCCACCTCAACTCTTGCAGCTTATAGAATTGGAAAGCTGTTTCCGATGAGGATATAGAGGGAATGATTAATTCCTGCAATACAATTTGATAACAGAAATGGAAAACGTATAAAAAAACCCTAGCAAATTTTAACGCTTGCATGCAGTAATATATAGTTGAAATCGATACCTCGAACATCCACCTGCAGAGTGCGAGAGTTTCAGAGTTCTTGATGATCAGCAAGACAGGACCGAACTCCGAGATGTTGAAAGTGTTGTACTTTGGGCCTCGTCTTATGTCGAAAGCAGCCTCGGACAAGTTGAAATGCTCTCGGATCTTGATGGACGGGAGAGATCCCCGATACCGGAGCGTTTTCAGCTTGAAAGATCTGATACCGAGAAATCTCAGATGTGGACAGTCCAAGATCGACAAGTGAAGAAGCTTAAATGCTGAATCAATGGTGAGAGAAGCCAATCCGCTGCAACTTGAAACTTTAACGTTTTCGAGGAAGGGAAAATCCAAAACCATGGATGCAACAACCTCGTGGGTTAAATGATTAACCGAAACCAGGCAAAGGGTCTTCACAAAGAAACTTCCTGGTACCGGGACACGTCTCGGAATCCGGTCTGATGCATTAGGGTTTATCTCCAAACGCCATTGGAACTCTTCATAGGTTTCTTGCTCAGAAGAGAACCTTAGACGCAGAGCTTCACACCGTCCGATAATGGCTGACACGATGCTTCTCTCATCGAAGTGAAACTCTAGTTTTCCAATGTTCTTCGTCGGATCAAGCTCGTAAAAGTTTTCGATAAAACGAAAAAGGGCAGAAGCTAAATCTTGTCTGGATCCGTGTTGAAGAAGTGAACCAGAATTCCATACAAACCTGCATCTTTCCGAGACGAATGGAGTCTGTCTGGCGGATTCGAGAGGAAGAAGACAGATTATGTGAAACAGAAGATCTGATGGTAAGAGAGAGAAGACATCCGCTTCATGTTCTTCCATGGTGTCCGTACACGAGAGAGATGGGTTCTTGAAGGTGTTAAAGAAAATAAAAATTAAGGAGATTGATTCCTTGCTGTTTTTGGTTTTTATTTATTTACAATGTCTGACTAGTTTTTTTTGTTGGAAAAATAGGTGAAGTCACGTCTTTAACTTTGGAATTTGATGGTTAGGTGATTCAGAAAAAAGTCTTATCACTCATTTTGTATAATTCTTTGATGGTCAGAATTTTCAAACCCGGATTCTCTCTCCGTGTGTTGCCCTTATTAGGGGTGGGCACAGAGGTGACACTAGACTTTTAGGGTACCCTTATTTCGGTCTCGGTTTCGTCGGATTTTTGACTAAAACATTTCGCTCTTTATCTCATGAAACCCGGATACCCGCCATTCGATACCCAAGACACGATATTCGCGATTAGGTGTGGACACGGATCGGATATTCAGACTTTTTTTATATCCGTATCCGTATCTCATCCGTATAAATATCACATTTTACTATTTGTATCCAATCTGAAGTTTTCGAATATCCGTAATTACGGATATCCGTAAAAAATATAGATATTTGCAAATACATATATTCGACAAAAAAATAACAAAAATAATAAATAATATTTTAAAAAAAAACTCAAACACAAATTAAAATACATAATCCTTCAAACACATAAAACCGTCCCTTCGCTATTCAGAGATTGTCGAGGATTCCTTTTCGTTTTTCTTCTCCTCTTCTTTTCGGAACTATAAGTTCTGGTCCTGTCCTAATCGAAGCTTTTTGATTAAGAATCTTAATTCATGAAGAAACTCGTTTATATCTCACCACCATACTCTTCTCGTTGTCTCTTCGTGTTGTATTCAGAACTTTGAATCATATTCGGATTCAAGTGAAAAAAAAGGAATGGTTCAAAATTTTAGAAAATCATTTGTATTTTTTTTTTAAAAAAAACTTAAAAAGAATGGTTCACTATCTCATAGTTATACAACAAATTAGAAGAGAAAAATAAAGAAAGAGACGGGTTGAATGGAATATTTCAGAAGAGGTCGATGACAATAGGTTTGGAGTCAACAAAAATGGTGGATTTTGGAGAGAGAGGGAGAGAGGCCGATGGACAAAAGAGAATAGAGAGAAAGAGTAGGAAAACACAAAAATCCTAACATATTTTTAATATTTTACAAAGTTGCCCCAATATATTAATTAATTACTAAATTAATCATATATTATTAATATATATAAAAAAGTATGGATGGGATCGGATACGTCGACGGATAATTCTATTTTGATATCCGTATCCGATCCGTATCCGATCTATATTTTGAAATCAATATCCGTATCCGATCTGTGAAGTTCATATATCCGAATTTTAGGTTCGGATACGAATCAGATAACATATCAGTTCATTTTTTCCGGATATTTTGTCCACCCTACTCGCGATACCCGAACTTGTACTCGTGTAAAATTAAAAAAAAAAATGTGCAAATTTACAATACTAATACATCGGCAACATAAAATTCAACATCCAAAATATATCGAAAATGCATCATAATTATAAGTTGAATAAAATCCAAAATACATCATGATTCATAAGTTCAACAACATCTAAAATATAAAATTCGTAAACTTAATAACATCTAAAATGCATCATAATTCTTGAACACATATGAGGAACATACATACACAAATAAAAAAACATACATATCTAAATTAGAATCAAGAACACGTTAATTAGAATAAAAAAACAATAACAGCAAAATATTGAAACACATTCAAACATCTCATCATTCGGTTAAATAATCCGCTTCTTTCTCAAATGAAGACTTTGATGAAAAATCTACAAAACTAAACATTTAGTTTAGAGTATGCAAAATCCAACGTATACAAACAGTCAAGTAATAAAAAAAAAATATCTTCTTCAAAGGTAGAAAGGTCATCCAACATTATTTATACTGTAATCGGTGTCGTATAATCTTTTCGAAACCAATCTTGTATACAAATGAGTGCTTCAACAAGTCGAGTATTTAAAGAGCTACGGTAACACGACCACCTGTACTAAAAGCGGACTCAGAGGCAATGGTTGATACTGGTATAGCCAAAACATCTCTCGCCATATTAGAAAGAATGAGATATTTGGAACCAATATTTTTCCACCAGTAAAGAACATCAAAATCTGTATTCTCCTCCTTCTATAGAACACCCTCCAAATAGGCCTATAACTCATTCTTCTTACCACTATATCCGATGTCTCTATAATTCCTAAACATCTTAAGTAAATAAGCAGCTGATGTATTGTTTGTCACTTCAGAACTAGTCCCGCTTGATGTCACTTCTGAGTCCGCTTGACTACTACTAGATGATTGAGTTTTAGCAAATCTATTTGACTTGTACTATTCAAATAGATTTTCCAAGGCAGCCTTCACTTTTCTAATCATATCATTGGTCTTATCTTCATCGTTGTAGATCTTTTTAATTATAAAATTGACATGTGTCAACTTAAATCGTGATCAAGCGCACAATTGCGATGAAAATGATCACATTGATATCATCTGACAACCAATATTTGTCAAATTTCTTTTTCATCCTTTCAGCCATACACCGCTTAAATGGATATTCATAATCCATAATCCGTTGAATCTTCCATCCTACAACAAAAATCTCCTTCATATACTCCTTAATTTCCTATGACATTCGAGTACCAGATATCTTCAAAGTAGCTTCATAAAAACATTCAAATATTGGTAATAAGGATTCTACATAATCCCAATCAACAGGCGTTGGAGGACCAAATCCATTTTTTCTCAAAACAACAACATACTTATCATCCAGAAGCAAGCATATCAAATCCTGACCTAAGTCTTATAGCCGACCCCAACATCAGATATGTAGAATTCCATTTGGTTTCCACGTCTAAATAAACACCACATTTAGTGGACAACCTTTTGCGAATCAAACATTCCTTGAACTTGTCTGCTCTACTTGTTGAGGATCTAACATAACGAATAACACCTCGAAATCTACAAATAGACTCATGTATCTTAGCCAAACCATCTCGAACAATCAATCCCAAAATATGAGTCTACATCTCATATGCAAGAAATCCCCATCAAGTATGCTTGATCCACATTTTTTAAACTGTCTATGCAAGTATTTGATTCCTAGACCATTTGAACTTGTATTATGAACTGTCATTATCAAAACACTTTCAATTTCCCATTGAACTAAACAAAGTTCGACAAGCTTTCCTATGGTTTCACTCGCATGTTTGAGGATTCGACAAAAGTTTATGATATTTTTTCTTAACTTCCAATCATCATCAATATAATGAGCCATCAAACTCATATAATTGATGTTTTGAACAGATAACCAACTTATACAACTTCTTCCTCTCTTCAAGAAACAAATTCATGCAGTCTCTTCCAATCGTTCTACGCGACGAGATAATAAAATGGGGTTAGACAATCCTCATAAGTAATTCCCTCCTTTTCAACAAACCTAAATGACAACTCATCTATTATGATCTTCATCACTAAAGCTCTTCAGAATTCTTCCTGATCAAATATCTTAAAAGATGAAATTTCTACTGAAGAATCACTTCTTGGCTCATGAAACAATGTTGTTTACTTCAATCTCTTACTAGCTCTTTGATCCTCAATATCATCATCACGAGGAGCCTTTTTACATATCCTCAAGTGTTTAAGCATTGCACTAGTTGATGTATCCGCTGCGATCATGCAACTAATTGTATGTCAGCCGAAGGCTCAGGTTCCTTGATGTCAGTCGAAGGCTCAGGTTCAGTTGTTTCAGGAGCCACAAAAGCCTGAGGGATAATAGGTTAGGACATCACAATGTTTTCCTCTGTATTTGAATGGTCTGCCATAGAAGAAAAAAATATGCAAATACGCATGTTTATTGTTAAAAAATTAGCATAAAAATCAACTCATTTGAGGCCATACAGAAAAGGATATTCAACCAACATAACATTAGCCTATCTTCTTCGGGAATGTCAACGAACATAGAGAGGGGAACTTCACCTTCAGACTCCACGAAAGTAAACTTCACTTGTAACAACAACAAAATTTAACATAGATACTTCAGTCAACACTGTCGAACAGAGAGAAAGAGCAAAGCGAGCATAACATTTACCTCGATGGGGAGAGCAAGGCAAAGACGATGAGATTGAGCTGAGGAGAGCAAGGCAGAGATGGAGAGACCAAACTGAGAGAGAGCAAGGTAGAGATGGCGAGACCACAAACTGAGGGAGAGCAAGCCGGAGATGGAGATACCGAACCGAGAGTGAGAGAGAGTAAGCCAGAGATGGAGATAGAGTTCTGTGCTCGTCGCCCGACGACGGAACTGAGATCTGACGGAGAGCACGACAGAGACAAGGGAGAGCCCGATGGAGATGAGACTGAACATATCTCACAAGCCCAGAGAGATTGATCTGCAACAAATAATGTTTGTTTGATACTTTGTCAAAACAAAAGGAGCGACGAATAATGTTTGTCTGATAGAGATAGTAGAAGACATTGATTAGATGTTATTACGGTACTTTGGTAAGTTTACTAAAAATTAAAGGTATTTTAGTAATTTATTTATTTTTCCGGTCCAATGGTTAGACCGATCGGTCTGGACCTCGAGGTCAAAGCGAAACGACCTAGATCGGGTCTAGAACGGTCTGAACAAGTTAGACCGATTGATCCAATGACTGGACCGGTCGGTCTGGACCTCAGACGATCCGAGATTTTGAAATTTAGGTTTTTGATTGAACAATCGGTGTTTCAGATTAATTATCAGAATTGGAATCAAAGCCTCATATAATCTTAATCTATTACCGCCAATTAGTAGAGCAACTGTCAAGGTCTCGATCGTCATGGTTACAGGTCATGCCCTAGCTGAGCGTGCCTACTATCTCGGTGAGGCAGTATGGAGAAATCGTGATTCTCATACCTCGAATATGGTTGAGCTTAAATTGAGTTATCAAGTCGGACTTGGATTTAATGGTAATGATGGGATAA